TTGACCGTCTCCATCCCTTGCTCTTATGAATATATGCTCCATGATAATGCACTTGTCAGAGTGTTTTTCTGTTTCCAGAAATAATTTGTTTCTCCTGTCAGGCCCAGCACACCATCTTTTTCAAAGAGCCTCTTCTGGGTGGCCATCTGGAAGCATCACCTCAGTGCAAAACAAGCAGGCTGCTGGATTTGTGTTGGCTCACTTCTCCTCGGTACTGGCTACTGCCCTGGAGGCAGCATTACATTTTATTCCTGGACTACGCAGCATTATAACTAGATGTGCAGACATGACATTTTGATTGCTAAATTCTGGGCCTATTGACGTTTGTGACAAGACTCAGTGAAAGGCCTGGGAAAAAAAGGATAAAGATGCAGAGGAAGGAATCAGATGAGGACAAACAGAGATCATGATCCAAGGCTCCAGAACTGAGTAAGTGTATAGAGATGTAATACCATACCTGAAATGCAGCATTGAGAACTCTCTCTCTTGCAGTGTTTTGAAAAAAGAATTTGAAAGAGCACCAGATTTTAAAGGAAGACATGAACTGAAGAGCAATCAAAAGCCAGAGCCAAGGTGCTAAAAGCAGGCATGCCCAAAATATCAGGAAATCAGATTTCAAGAGTTCGCAAATGTGGGCATATCTATAGTCAGAAAACATTACAGAAAATGAAAGCAGTGTGTAAGAAACTGGGGGGGGGGATGGAAGAATCCTCCCTGGATATAAGAGAGCTGTGATGATCAGTGAGAAAAGAGGAAAATTGACTTACTATAATTAATATTATAGTCTTTTTCTGCTTGTCTTTATAATTACAGTGTAAAACATGGCTGCAGTTTTTCCTTGCCACATATGGTGCTTAGATATAAATCATCGATGGGCTCATGGCTACACTTCAGTGAAACTAATGACATGAAAGTCTGTAGACTTGGGATGAGGCAGCATTTATAATAAAAAAGATCTGCCTGGTGAAAGGAATACTAAAATTGTTTATATTATAATAATATGACTTTTATGCCTCTTCATGTTACTATGCTTTAGGAACATGTATGATTATCACTAGATGTAAGAACCATGAATCATTCATTTTCCCAAGGACATCCCTAGAGAACAGTCTGAAATGCAGACATTTGAGGGTTCCCAGATTACTTGCTGGAGCTGGAAAGACTGGTTCAGTTTTTCATAGATAAATTATCAGCTTTCCTGAAATGGCATTTAAATATTGTGCTACAGAGGCCAGTTGGAGTTACTTTGGTATAAACTGAGGGTAGTCCAACATAATGGGATTAAACACCACCTAGGTTTAAAGGCCGATGAAGAAACGTGTGGGGTTTTTTAAATAGCTGTGTCACCTTGTTGGCTATTTATCTAATTTAGTAACTGTAAAAGTTAACACTCTCACTAGAATTACCATCAGCTAAAACTACTGCAAGTAGAGTAAGTGTTGAGAAAGAGTTGGTCGTCAACAAGTAGGGTAGCATCCAAGCATGGGATATTCCTACTCAGTCCCTTGGTTTCATTTCACAGATACGGTTTATTCTTTGAGGAGAGGAAAATAACACAGAGCCTCTCAGTTACCAGATGCCTGTAACTGCGAATCTCACAGACTTCAAAAAACTAAAAATTAGTTTGAAAAAGCAGAGATGGTTTTCGATTATTCCAAACAGATGGCTTAAGAGGAAAGATGCAACTTCTACTGCTGACAATAAATGTTAAAAAAGTGAACAGATTTGAGTGTGGAAAGGAGTAAACAAAATTTTTGGTTTATTTAATTGTCCAACGTAAATATGCTACATGAAATTACTATCAAAATACAATAAGAGCAAATATAAAAATGTTTTTGCCATGCTTATTTTGAAGTCAGTAAGTGCCATTGTACCAACAGTGAAGCCTTTAGAGAAATCAGTGATCGTTCATTCTTCCCCAGTCCTTTGCTGATATGCTTCAGTGCTGCCATAGAAGCTGATGGAACAGATTTTAAATGGAATACATGAAGCTCTTTGTGCTATAATGAAGAAAGATATGTTGACATTTTGTAAGTTTTGCCTTCTAAGTGCAAAACACACTATTTACCTGGTCCTTTATTTGATACTATTGAACAGGAAAAAAAAATCCTATTTAAATCAGCCGTTTATTGGTTACAGTGGAGTTTTTCAAAAGATATCTCACTGAAATATATTTTTTCCCATAACGGAAAGACTATGATATTAAAAAAAAAAAAAAGAGAGAGAGAGAGAATAAAAACATTACACATTAAAACTGTATTGACACTGCTGCGTATAGTTTTGCTACTTAATTTCTCTTGGCCAAATCTCAGCGAACAGGATGATTATTCTCAATAACTCTGTGATTTTTTTTTTCACAAGAGGAGTTCCAACAAACAAAGATAAGCTTCCAAAAATAGATTACCCGTGACAAGGGATGATAGATATTTAATGCAGTTCCTGTAGATCAGAATGGGTCTATATTCGATGTTCCACAGACATTCACAACGTGTGTTTAAATGCCATTGCTACTGGTTTTACTCCACCGCCTCCCTAACCCTGCCTTAAGATCTCGGTGCAGGACGAAGCCGTGGGACGGCTGCAGCGCTTTTCCAGGGAGGTTTCTGCCACCTGGTGGAAAATAACACAGAATACACAGCCGACATCAACGTCCCCAAACCTTTGTTTCAAGGCCAGGTGAGCAACTGCTGTATCTAACCCGTCAGAAAACAAACAAACAAACAAACAAACAAAAAAAACCCCAACCAAAACAAACAAAAAACCCCACGGGTTCACTTCCAGCAGCATCGCCTCTTACAAGTCTCTCATCTGCTCAATACATTGCAAAATATCACCTCTAATTTATCTGCAGTATTGGCTACTCCTTGTTTACCCTCATTCATACCCTTGTCTGTTCAATTGCGTTAAATAAACTGCTTCTGGAAGACATCACAAGCCGTGGGGGTATATTTAACCCAAAGAAAGCAAACCCAAATTTGCTTCTTCCGTGTATGGGTACTCTATAATAGCTTCCCGTAAGAGTTACCTCACGCCATCTGCCTCCTGCACGCCAGCCTTAAGGGCACAAGGGCCCGCTACCCCTGCTGCGGAGCACAGAGGAGGTCCTTTATAGCAGTTTTATGTGAAAACTGGGCCTTCCCCCCCGTCTAACTCTACCTACTGTGCCACAGACCAGAGGAGGAGGCGGGACAGGTTGGTCGGTCGGTTCCTCTCCCTCCACAGCCACGAACGAGCC